TAGGGCTTACTTCTACAATTAAATATTCAATATCACTATCGGCAGATCTTGATTGTTTTGTATGCTCACCAAGAATAAAAACAAAAGCAACCTCAAGAATTACAATAGAAAACAAAGAAAAGAGAATGACCATTTTTACAAAAACATGCAAATAAAACATAAATGAAATTAATCTATAATACAAATATAAATATAAATACAACAAGTTAATGTTAACGAAATCGCTGGAGATCATCAACATTTCCTATTTTGCATGCAGTGGAGTCTGTACTGAGTCTAACAAAAACATCTCCTCTCCCTAGACGTTTTAGTTTTAAACCTTCTAGTAAAATTTTTCTTTTCTCGGTAGACAGGCTTTCGAAGATGCTAAACTTGCCATCAATTCCTAAAGATGTAAGAGGAATAGCCGATTTTATTCTCTTTCGACATTCAGTAAATGCGCGAAGAGTACGCGCGCGATCAGCAGGAGAATAAAATTTTATGATTATCATATTCGACTGTTTTATTCTGAACGCATCACGTACCTGTGGTACCATAAAGTCGATGGAGAGACATACTTGGTTGAAGATACTCCTAATGTTCTCTCCCTCCGTAAATGGTACACCAAAAGCAATTGCATCTGCCTGAGAACTCTCACCTCTGCTTGACAGCAAGTTTATTGTTGCTTTCAGTTTCCGTATTTCACCTTCTTGTTGTTTCACATCAGCCTCAAGTCGTGAAACGCGCTCAGCAGACTCATCGCACTTCAGATTTAATGCGTCGACTTCATCACTCAGCTTCTTCATGAGCATCTCTTGCATATCATTGATTTTGCAAGAGAGCGTGTTAAAAAGTGAGTGCATCTCTTCTGTGTGCATTTTCACTCTCTCCTCCAAATCTCGTACTGCAGTCAGTAAAGTGGGGAGAGCATTATTATTATGATCGCCAAGCTTAAGAGACTTGGCGAACGGTGATTCTCTGCTAGCACGGCGTTTTAGGCTGGATAGGCTGGCTGAGGTGCTCATATTTATTTGAAAAGTAAACTGACGAATGTAAGCACAAATACACAAGGATATACAAGAAAATCAGCTTCAACGGGTAGACAAACAAACAAACTATCTCACTGAAACAATACCAAGAATTGTTATTTAAAATGCCACCGAAACAATATTCAACTCTCGAGCGTAGACAAAACACGTCCGGCCGCAATACTGCGCTATTATGATATCATGTATTTGGACTTTTTTGATGCAAATTTGAAGCTTGAACTATTATCGACTATATTTGAAGCTAAATTAATTAATTTATTTAGCATTAAGAAAAACTTAAACAAAAAACTAAAATTATTGATAAATTCAGGTCACAAAATTGTTGCTTCTCTGGATATCTTTTTGTACGTTAAGTGATCACGTAAGCACTGAACTACATTTCAAAGATTTTGTTGCGGGTTAGACTTAGATTCGAAATTTATTGTTTTTTGTGCATTTCTTTCACCATGGCTGGTATCAGAAATGAGACAATTATTGACATAAAAGAATTAGTGATAAAATTGTCCTCTGAAGGTAAATCGTACATACAAATTGGTGAAATTATTGGCAGACCTCATTGCACAATTCAAAAAATTATAAATAAATGGAGATATGGAGGAACGTTACTGAACTCCGGTAGTCGATAATAGTTCAAGCTTCAAATTTGCATCGAAAAAATTGAAATACATTCACTAAATTTTGCATAGTTTGTGTATTTCTCTTACGAAAACCTGTGTATACTCATTTTTGTGAGTAACTGTAGATACATACAAATATTTACTTAATATTTTATTGAAATCGTTGAAATTATAGTACATATATATACTCGTATATATATATATATATACATATATACATATATTTACTTAATATTATAGAAATAAACTTACTTACTTAAATTATAAAAATTAAAACATAGAGATACGTTACATACAAACGCTGAAACCTAAATGCATGTTCGAACATGAATTTCTTTATAAGCACATACATCCTTGCACAGAATAAGTGGAAAACTGTACGAAGCAATAAGTTGTTATTTTAAAATAACATTCTGCTTGCTTATAAATAGTACAAAAAGCCAGGAAAATGCAAAGGAAATTAAGTAGCCTTTGTGGTTTCGTTAGGTAAGTTAAAACATGATGCCGAACCCAATTGGGAACAGCCCTAATATCCCCGCTACCTGCTTAACAAAGTTATCATAACAACAAATTATGACAGCATAGCAACATCAATGTAAAAGTTTGATATGCACCAAAAAAAACTACCGTGGTCACTGCTTGCGCTCGGCATAGCGGCAGCATGTTAGGCAGGCAGCCCAAAAGACAACAACACCCACTGCATAGCAATTCTCGGTAGGCAAGCCAGCGGTACTACTTGGAGCTTGGTACGGTATCACCTGATTTGAATACAACAACACAATTGTGTTGCTAGCAGCGCAGTCCAAGCGACCTTCTTCGCGCAACAACATTTGCAGGCGATTACCACCGATCGCGAGGGTATTTAAGGGAGTGTCACTACCTGACCAGTTATTAATTGTAAGGTCAACTGTAGCCAACTCAATATTAAATTAATAAATAAAAGTAAAAAGTGAAAAAGTGTTTTATTATTTTAAATAAGCAAAACAACTTGCTTAACTGGCGCCCAACTAAAGTAGAATCCAGTGTCCCTAAAAAATAAATATCCTGTGAAAAAGGATAGCAAACACGCTAAATAATATATTAATTATTAAACTTTTGTGAAAAAGTTATAAATAAATGTCCTGCTAAAAAAAGGATAGTGACTTCTTATAAAATTAACACAAAATTTTGTGAACAAAAAATTATTAAAACAAAAATCTTTGTAAAAAGAATTGAGTTTCGAGAAACTAAAATTAAGTGAAAATACTCATAAGAAAATTTATAATAAAATTAAAAATTCATTGTGCTTGAATAAAATGAATTAAAGTGCTAAAAACAAAAAAGTAAACCTTTAAAAAAATTTGAAGATATTTTTTGACTAATTTGTAAAAACTATTATAAAAAAACGAATTTGTGTTTTTGAAAAAAGGTTAATTAACCTTATAAAAGGCAGTTTAAAAAAAACTAAACTAAGTGAATATCCTTAAAAAAAAAAAACGAAAAACAATTGTGTTCCGTAAAACTATCACAAAATTTTTTCCTTATAAAAAGGAAAAAAAATTAATTAATTAATTATTTGTACTAAATAATTTCATGAATGAAAAATTAAATCCATAAATAAACGGTGGAAAAAATGTGAATAGCTCAAAAAAAAACTATTCAAACAAATCCTTATAGAAAAGAGAATAAATTTGTGGTTCTCAAAAATTAAAAAAAATACTTATTTCGTAACCTGCGTTTCAAAAAAACTCTTACTCTTAATTATCGTTTTAAAAATAAAGCGAAAAAAGGCAACAAATACATTTTATTAATAAAAGTAATTGTGTTCTAAATACGATTCCTTATAAAAAGGGTATAAAAAATCCCAGACAAAAAACTTTCTGCGAAAAAAAATTAATCATAAAAAAATTGTGAACAATGAAGCTTTAAAGACAACTTTATAAATGTCATAAAAATATTCAGCTAAAAAATAAAAATCATCTTTACCAATCGGATGTGGAAGTGATCAGTTCAGTTTCGCCAGGAGAAAACACAAAACGGCAGCACCTCCGATACCAGGAAATTTGGCAGAATATGTATGAATGAAGAAATAATTAGTTTAGTCTTCTTAAGTATTGTACTTTAAAACACATTCTGGGTAGGTAGTTCACTTACAAAACATATAAATTTTGCGTCCTTAAAATAACAATAATAATAAATAAATATTAAAAATGTATAGAAACGCGGTTGCTAGTTTATTAGAGTCGACAGTAGAAGTAGTTGAACAGAATTTGAGAGAACAGTTAGCAGAATTAAAACGAGGATTTCATAGTATTTTACCAAAAAAAAAATAGAAGTTCTTGAGCCCGTAAGTATTCTTCAAGGTGTGCAAAGTACCCACACTGATCTTAATTTGATAAAGTCTCTACCGGAATTTAGGGGTAAAATTTCAGAATACCCAGCATGGAGAGAAGCAGCTAGGTTCGCGATAAGCTATTATACTAATGGATCAGCAGGGCAATTCTCTATCGTATTATAACGATTTTCGGATCGTAATAATGACTTAACCATAGTTTTAACGATTTTGCTATTCTCTGAGCAATGTATAACGATTTTCGGATCGCAAATTAGACTTAGCGATATTTTTAACGATAATCGCTATTCTCTAAAATGGTATAACGATTTTCGGATCGCAAAGAAGACTTAACGATATTTTTAACGATAATCGCTATTCTCTAAAATGGTATAACGATTTTCGGATCGCAAAGAAGACTTAACGATATTTTTAACGATATTCGCTATTCTCTAAGAATAGTATAACGATTTTCGGTTCGCAAAGAAGACTTAGCGATAATTCTATCGATTTTAATATTCGGTGTACTTGTTTTAACGATATTCGCTCTCGCTGTTGTCGTAAACTACTCCAAAAATCGCTAACTAAGCGACGAATATTTTTAAGTTGCTAGCGATATCGACAAAATTTTGTTACTTCATATAAGAGAGTAAAGTGTCTAAGTAATACAAAAATAAGAATAAAATAATAAAATAAATGGCTTTTGAATATTTGGCATACGATTTGTCACAAGATGAAGAGGTATCCTACCCTTCATCATTAGATAGAAGTTTGCGTCGAGAAGCGGAAGATCCTTTTCATTTGGATGCTACCGAGTTTCGGCAGCTATATAGATTAACGCCGGATTTAGTTGAAGTAATCGTTTCTCAACTAGATTGTCAACTAAAAGGAAGAAGAATAAAGGCATTGTCTACGGAGAAACAGGTAATAATATATTTTTTCAATATTTTTTTTAGCCTTAACAGTATTATTAAAATGTTTAAAGGTTTTAACCGCTTTGCGATTTTTTGCAACTGGATGCTATCAACGTCCCGTCGGAGAGCAATGGGGGATATCCATGGGTCAGTCGTCAGTAAGCCGTTGCATTCATCGCGTAACAGACGCAATCTACCGTTCGATGTTTCCTGCGAAGGTTAGGTTTCCAATGACGCAAATAGAGCGGCAAGCTGCAAAGGAAATTTTTGCTTCATCATCGTCACCATTTGTTGGAGGCACTATTGGAGCTATCGATTGCACTCATGTGTCAATCATGAGTCCCAAAACACATGAAGAAGCTTATGTAAACCACCATGGATACCATTCCATCAATGTGCAAATGGTGAGAGTAAATTTGTTTTCAATTACTATTGTAGTCAAAGTTCATTATATTTTCACATAGATATGTGATCCTTACCTCAAGATTTTGGCGGTTAATGCTAAGTACCCAGAAGCGCGGCACGATTCTTTCATTTGGAGCTCCTCTACAGTGCGAAGAGTAATGCAGCGCAGTTTTGAAAGTGGAAACCACAATATGTTTTTTATTGGTAAACTTTGAAAACCATTAAAACTCATATATTAAAAATAATTATGAAAAAATTAAATTTTCAGGTGACTCTGGATATCCATTAGAGCCGTGTTTAATGACTCCTCTTCCAAGCCAACCTCAAAGAAGTCCCAAATTCCGCTACAATGAGGCATTGTGTAAAGCACGAAGCCCAGTCGAGCGGCTTTTTGGCGTTCTCAAAGGAACTTGGCGATGCCTATCTCAACAAAGAACTCTTTTGTACGATGCTGGATTCACTGGTAGAATAGTCAATGCGTGCTCAGTGTTGCATAACATTCGATTAGGTGACCAAATATATGAGCTTGAGTTCCTAGAAAATAGAACAAATACCGTCAATTTCAATCATGAGGCACCATCCTCAACAGCAAAACGCGTCCAAGATCGCCTGATCGCGAATTATTTCACTTAAATATCAATTTGATAAATAAAAACTCCGGAATATAATTTACATAATTTGTAATTTTATTACATATTTTTGGTAACAAATTCTTCAGTCTTAATATTTTCAACATTTGTACTTAAGTTAAGTTAACTCAGCAAAATACATACATCATACAACTTAATTTTAATGCATAATTCATTACATATCTCAGTATATAATCACAGATAAGTATTTTTATATGGGTTTAAATACCACATATCATCACATTCATGTTTCTTAAAGGAGAATCTCTCATGTTCATAACTGCATTACTTCTTTAAAATATGTACACGTATGTAAAGAGAAATTGATCATAATATATCTAATATGAAGTCAGATATAAACTCAAACTCCAAAACTTATTTTTTTTTCAAATTAAAACTTAAATAAATAATATAAATAAAAAAAAAGAACTTCTTGTACTATGTTTAAATTAACTCTTATCTAAAAAAAATTACTTTAAACTCCATAAGATAATATATTTACGTGCGGCTAATTGCGTCGGCTAAATTGTTGAAGGCAGCTGCACAAGCTTTCAATCCTTCACCCATTGTGGTCATAGCATCTGCCAATGCCTGCGTGGTCGCCGCATTGCTTTCAGCTAACAACTATTAAAAAAAAATTATACAAATATTTGCGATGCAATTCTATAGCATTTAAAAAAAAAATTACCTGCAAGGCATCAGCTTGCCTGCTTGCAATTTGGGTGGATGCTGCACTCGACTCTGCTAACATCTTTTCGAAAAAAACGAAACGACATGAAAACATATTCTAGATGTGTTCCAAATGCANAGTAGTTGAACAGAGTTTTAGGGAACAGTTAGCAGAATTAAAACGAGAATTTCAGAGTATTTTACCAAAAAAAATAGAAGTTCTTGAGCCCGTAAGTATTCTTCAAGGTGTGCGAAGTACCCACACTGATCTTAATTTGATAAAGTCTCTACCGGAATTTAGGGGTAAAATTTCAGAATACCCGGCATGGAGAGAAGCAGCTAGGTTCGCGATAAGCTATTATACTGAGGGATCAGAGCCATATTATATTGCCATGGGTATTTTGCGTAACAAAATAACCTCAGCAGCTAATGAAAATCTTAGTGCTTTTAACACACCATTAAACTTTAAAGCTATTATAAGTAAATTAGATCAACTTTATGCAGATAAACGACCACTCCATATATTAGAAAGCCAACTCAACACCTTGAGGCAGGGCAAGATGTCAATTAATGAATATTATGATGCAGTTGATAGGCAACTGACATTAATTTTAAACAAAAATATTATGACGTATAGTAATAATGATCAACTCACTCATGCATTTAATTCTAAGGCTAGGGAAAATGCTTTAAGAGTTTTCATTTCTGGGCTCAGGCGCCCATTGTGCGACACACTTTTTTCAGTAAACCCGCCGGATCTCCCCAGTGCACTTGCTGCAGCGCAGGAACTGCAACATAATCGCGAAAGGTATGAGTTCGCACATACATATGCCTCAGGCAGATTGCCACAAGCTTCCTCAAGTCCCCCATTATTTAACACTGTGCCTCAACCAAATAGAGCAAATAATTCTGTGCAATATCCTGTCCCGATGGATGTAGATCCGGGAACCTCCTGTTCTAGACAAAACCCTCGAATTAGAAGCAATATCTCAGAGCGATTCAACCACCCACAAATTTACCAACAGGGAAGTATTTCCAATCGCCCAAATCCTAACCAAGGGCGTTCGCGGCAACAACAACAATTTCATAGGCTTTATGCCAATAATGCTTTTAATCAGGCACTCTTGCAACGGCAACATGTCAATAACTTCACTCAACACCAACAACAGTATAAGAGACCTTATACTAATAACACCTCCACTCAGGCACCCGTACAAAAACTCCAGCGTATCAACGCTATGAGAAACGAGCCATATTTTACCGAAATGCACGAATGTGAGGACCCCTTTTTAAACGAACCACCGTACTCTGAAATGGGAGACACCGAAGTACCAGTTCTTAAATTTTTTTTTTTAAAAGGTATAACTTCAATAAATTATCCCTTCCAACTAAGATCTATTAATGGTGTGAATAAAATTTCTGAGAAATGTAAAGTAAATATTTTAGGATCGATTGTTACTTTTTTATACTTCCACAGCTAGATACTTTCGATGGAATCCTTGGGTATAATTTGTTGAAAGATATCGAGGCAAAAATTGACACTAAGGTTGGTCTCATTTTCCACAAAAACGGAAAAGAGAAGCTTAACTTTTTCCAGTGCCAACAAGTTAACACGGCCCAAATCAAGCCAATTGAAGTACCTTGTAGTATCGAAATTTTGAAAAAAAGAAATTCTCATGCATTTGCAAATCCCAATAGAGCTCTCTCATACAACACAAACGTTTTAGCAACAATAGACACATTAACTGATAAGCCCATTTACTCAAGAAGCTACCCTTACCCAATATCAGTAGGTAATTTTGTCAATAATGAAGTAGAATCTCTGCTTAAAGACGGCATAATAAGAAAGTTCTATTCACCCTACAACTTCCCTGTCCATGTAGTCTCAAAGAAAGGTTTCGATGGCGATGGAAATCCAAATTTAAGAATGGTTATCGATTTCCGGAAGCTAAACGAGCATACTACTTCTGACAAATATCCCATTCCTGATACCACAGTGATACTCTCAAATTTAGGCAAGTCCAAATTATTCACAACACTAGACCTTAAGTCTGGGTTCCACCAAATTTGTCTTTCAGAGAGAGATAGGTGTAAAACTGCATTTAGCGTAAACAACGGCAAATATGAGTTTTGTCGTTTGCCCTTTGGTTTGAAAAATGCACCAAGCATATTTCACAGGGCAATTGTCACCATTTTGCGCGAAGACGTCAGGAAAATATGTCACGTTTACGTTGATGATATCATAATTTTTTCACCTGATGACATCACATTTTAAGCACGTTGACTCCATATTGAAAATAATTGAGCAAGCAGGAATGCGAGTATCGTTAGAGAAATCTAAATTTTTTAAAAGTGAGGTCGAGTTTTTAGGTTTCACAGTCTCTCATAAAGGAATCCAAACATGTCCTAGCAAAGAAGAAGCTATCCTTAATTACCAGCAGCCAAAGTCGTTAAGATCTTTGCGGTCTTTTTTGGGTCTTTCCGGTTATTACCGTAGGTTTATTAAAGACTATGCACATATTTCGAAACCCCTTACGAAATATTTAAGAGGCTACAATGGCCACGTTAGCAGTCGTCAGTCCAAAAAAGTGAATATTTCCCTTGACGATGAAGCAGTCAAGGCCTTCAATAAATTAAAAACTATTCTGGCTTCGGAAGATGTCCTTCTTCCAGACTACTCTAAGCCATTTGAGATAACAACGGACGCCTCATCCGTAGCCCTAGGAGTCGTACTTTCCCAAAACGGCAAACCCATAACCATGATATCTCGCACGTTGTCTAAGGCTGAAGAGAATTATGCTACAAACGAACGCGAACTTCTAGCGATAGTTTGGGCATTTCAAAAGTTAAGACATTACCTATACGGTATTAAAAATATACATATTTATACCGATCATCAGCCCCTTATATTTGCTATGTCAGATAAAAATCCAAATCCCAAAATTAAAAGATGGACTGCATTCCTAAACTCTCTCGCACCGAAATATTTCTATAAACCTGGCAAAGAATATAAAGTTGCCGACGCACTTTCTCGTCAATATATCCATAACCTCGATGACTCAGATGATACCGCTCATAGCGAAATTTCCCTTTCACATACAATTAAAACCATTAAAAATCCCGTGAACCAATTTAAAGCACAATTAGTACTGTTACCATCCGAAGTTAACAGCAAATCTACTAAAATTTTTTCCAAAAACTTCTTAGACATACTTTTCACTTTAAAACTGCGGAATATCTTTTACAAACTATCCGAGAAAAAGTCATACCAAACCTTAGCTAGAGTCCAGTCCCTTCTCTTGTCCAACTTGCCAGGAGTAAGATTTATTCATACGGAGAAACTTGTAATAGACCTAACTAAAAGAGAAGATCAAATTGAAGCTGCTACCATGGAGCACAACAGAGCCCATCGTTCAATCTTAGAGAACTACAAACAGTTGATATCCGAATATTTTTTCACATGTATTAAGAAAACTTTAGCAACAATAGCCAAAAATTGTAAAACATGCTTGGAAAATAAATATAATAGACACCCATCAAAAACCGATATAGGGCAAACACCAATTCCAGAATATCCCGGTCAAATCCTCCATGTGGATATATTCTCTGTTGAGAAATTTCACTTTTTCACTTGCATAGACAAATTTTCCAAATTTACAATTACAATTCCAACTGAAACTAGATCAACTAGTATATGTTCGCCGAAACAAACGTTTCGGAAATAAGTTAAATAAGGTGTACGTTGAAAATGTCATACAAAAAGATTTAGGTCTTGATAAAAGGTAGAAAAGGCCATAAAGATAATTTAAGATAAATTGTTAGTAGGAAAAAATTCTGAAAAACTCCAACAACTTCTACTGTTCGCACCAAAACTAGCTTTAGATCAAGTCGTTTTCGATGTAAGCATATTTCGTTATAATTTTAACATTGAAATATAATATCAGTTTTTTGAATTCTTGTCTAATTACTTAATTCCAAAAATCAAAAAATTTCATTACATCAATGTTGAAATAAAAAAATACGAAGGAAATGATTACAAAAAAGAAACGTACATATGTAAGTTAACACCAAAAATGTTTTCGTGGAATATTTTGCACTAAATTCACTTCTTTCGCAACAATTATAATGCTTGCGCACATTTCCAGTCTTCTATCCAATTTCATTCTTTTATTTCTTTTTCTTTTCGCACGCGCGTCGAAAAAAAGCTGACGCACTGTCTGCATTGAATGCAACTCCACTTGATCACGTTGCACTCAATGTGATGATCATGGCTCAGGTAATTTTAAGTTATTTTAAGTTCAGTTGTAAACTCGCACGCAGAGAAAGAAGACATAGTCTTCTAGTGCTTAATTTTAAAACAAATTAAATTTTAAGT